TTGCAAACAATAAAAAATTGTTAAAAATCAATTATTGTGAAATATGTAATTATCTAAAGACGGTCCATTTTTTGTCCATTCTAACGGTTTTGAAGATCAATTACAAGCACGAAAAAAAATAATGAATGGTTTCGTGCAAAATTAATTGCTGGACTCGGTGGATCTATATAATTATAAAACATTAAATTTGCATTTTGAACAATTTAAAATTTTGGCAAATGCTATTACGTACGGTTCTTTGCTCTAGTCTAGTGGTTTCTGTAGGTACGGTCGCCATTCTCTTCTGTGTGTGAATAACCGTTTTTAATTGACCTGACTCGTGAAAAGCTACACGTCTGCTCGTTTTACATTTCCTTTCAGTTTTATGTAAACCTAAAGTTTTCATTTCGTGGATTAACGTAGAAATACCTACACCATTTCATCAAGTTGGAATTTTCATCCTCTCCTCGAAATTCTTATTTATGTCAATGTAAACGACGACAGAAAGCTCGTGTCTGGGAATTAAAAAATTCTTTAAACATACCATTTCATAAATCCACCCCCTATAATAAACACGGAATGCCGAATAATTTATTGCGACGAAGAGAAAACTCGCAACTGTTTGAAAATCCTAAAAAAGCTTTCTCATATAAAATTCGTCGTTGGCGTATGAGTTGTTATGACTTTCTGGGTCTTAGGAAATGGTACTCAGACGTTGTAATCCCACGGCAATCGAGACACCCACAGTTTGCCTGACATTCTATTCTGGGAAACCTCAAAAATGATTTTAACCTATAAATACTGTTTCTAAATTTAACTCCATTTTCATAATACGCCTTCGAATGGAGTATGACGTCGATTTCATTGATTGCGGTACGTGCCTATTCTTTATTTCTTAAGATTAAGACCGCTCAAGTGTGCATATAGTGGGCTTGACATGATGTCACTATGGAATGAATCCAAATTTTTACGTATTCTGTGCGTCATATGCTCATAATTCATAAACAAGATCATTTTTAGTATTAAAAAACATATCGTGACATTATATCTTTACGTTAGATGCATAAACACGTCACTTCCACGCGACTTATTAAAACACAATTTACATAGTATATTTGGCCAAGGTCCAATAGACCAAGTTATAAATCAAAAATTAATAATAAAAGGTGTGCGTGGTCCCTTAGTCAAACTGATGGCCAAAATATAATGTCTAGTAACTGTCAAACTAATAAAGCTTTGTGTTTTGCCACGTGTCGAACAAATTGGACCAATAAAATACTTTCTCGATTTATTAGGTAGGCACCGAGGTAGGCACGTATGTTATTTTCGTACAAAATAGCTGCAGTGATGGTTCAAATTCGTGGCCCACCATTGGGATTTCCGTGAGAAATACAGAGCAGGTTAAATGGGGGCAAAGGTGCCTAAAAAAATGCATTTGAAATTTTTGAAAATAACTGAAATATCACAAAAAAACTGAAAATGTCAAATTTTGTTTTCATTTTCCCTAGCCATAGGAGGTGCTAACGGTTGTAAATAGACGATTCCCGTTAGCACCTCCTATGGCAACTTTTTTTTCGGCGAATCTATATGTATCTGGTATCGGCATTTCCTAAACACACTAGATACTAGATGTATACTACTCCCATATCTCTTAGGTATGGGCGCCATATTGGATATTTGTTGTATGAGCGAGCGTCCTTAATTATGCTTCTCACAGCAGCTTTGCATTACCTACACTCCGCTTTGGTTTATTCGTTAGGTATCTTTTTTATACAATGTAGTGGTAAATGGTTGAAATATATGATAAATGCAATTTTTTTCGATGCAAAAAGGATAGTGTACTCGGAATTCGTTCCAACAGTTCAGACCGTCAACCATGTTTCCTACTAGGAGGTTCTCCAGAGGTTGCGCAACAGTGTGAAGTGAAAAAGGTCCGAAATGTGGCAATCTGATGATTGGTTTTTCCACCACCAGAATGCCCCAGCTCACATCGCCATCTCAGTGACCACTTTCAAGGCAAGAAACGGAATGGCTGTCTTTCCCCACCCACCCTATTCACCCGACATGGCTCCGAGTGACTTTTTTTATTCCCACGAATGAAGAGGAACCTGAAGGGAAAGCGTTTCGTTGACGTGGAGGAAGTGAAGAGGAAAGCGACGGAGGCGCTTGCATACATCCAATAGATGAGTTTAAAAATGTTTCGAACAAGGGCGGCAGAAGAGATTAGACAAGTGAGCGAAGCAGTAGTTGAGCTTGCCTTTCCTTTCAATCAATTAATTAAAAAACGTTTATTACAATTTATATGAAACAACAATGGTGTTAGTGATGATCGAATGGCGGACTGCTAAGGACTTTTCAGTCCTTGGTTAGTAAATGATTTATGATATGTACAATGCAACAGTAATTGTCTATCTTGGTCTATGCGATATTGCGCAGTTATCAGCTCTTGTCCTTGGTGCGTTGTGGGTGGTCGTCATAGGGGCGGAGTTGGTCGGTGTTGAATTGGTGGTTGCAGATGGATTCCGGTACGCGCGTTTTTATCTGAAGAGAAAGAAAAGGGAGGCAGTAATTGTTTCTTTTTGATTTTTAGTATGGTTTGCGTGTAAGGAGCGTTGTCAAGGAGTTCCTAGGGTAGTCTTCGACAAGTAGTTGGGTTAGGAGTATATGGGAGGGAATTTGAATTTCAGGATTTCGTGTAGCTCTATACACAAAGAAGTTCACCCTGTATATTCACAGTTTATGCATATGCTGGTATAAAGTAAGATGGGCAAACGTACGGATTTGATTTCCGCATCCGTTATCATTTACCTACTATAAGTAGTGTTACATTTAACTAAATCAAATAAATATAACACACGAGCTACTGGGTGTGTGACACAAAGCTAATGCTTCAAACCCGATCATTATACTATGATTCTTTCGAGAGTTTATACTTAAAACACTATTGCAGCCGACTGCCCAATCGACCGAACAGCCAAAGTGAATATATAAGCGCTAATTTTTTTTCAAAAAAGCGCCAAAAATGAGCGTTATGACGTAGACGCTCTAAAAATTAGAAGGTAACCAAACATTTAGCAAGATAAGAATTGCATACGGTTTTCCTCGCGGTTTTCAGTAAGGGAGTTTTTTGACACTCAAAATCCTATTCGAAAACTCGACTTTTAATCCGGCTCATATTCAATAGCGCTGATCCTTAAACTTGTAGAAGTTAATTGGCAAAGGTTTACCCTTTTGTTCTTGAGTTAGACGAGGAACAGACGGGCGGACAAAACGATTTCGCAAAAATTTCCCTAAAAAGCAATTGAATTGTATACATTTTGACATTGTCTAAAGCACTATATTTAACATGCAACAAATCTGGAAAATGAGAAAAACAGCGACAACGCTGTTATCAAACACTGAAATTTGCGAAAATAAATTCCAAGTTACGTTTGTACATTTTCTGTTTTTGTTCAAGGTGCCGAAACGTAAGCTAATGCCTATAATTCACCTACAGAATCGAAATAAATTGTGTTGACGCCATTCTTAAAGCTGCCCTTCGCGTGGTTACTTTACCACAAAAAATACATTTTACTTAACCGCTATTACTTAACTAAAAATAAATGGAAACCTCGAGTTGGTGTTTCGGAGAAACAATTTTTTTATACATTGTGTTGCCAGTTATATATACCTCCACGTACTTCATTTAAACCAGAACCCGCAAATGTCTACAGACGAAATCGTAAATCGGATAAGTATTACTTAACTGAGTGTTAACGAGCAACGAAACAGATGGGCTGATTTTTGAAGTGACTATTTAGAGCATGCCATATTTTTTAACATTAACTACATAATAACGTACACTGCCATGTGAAAAATAAACGCAAAGAAAGTTATTTTAAATCCCGCGCGTACGCGACATTGGCATTATTCTGCGCTTGGCGCCATTTAACAGATATTGCAAGTGTCCATTATCATTACCATCACCTTGTTATAAAGGTTTATAACGACAGTGAAAGTAAACAAAGGTAATGGTGATATAAATATAAACAAAACACATTTTTTCGTGTATAGGCGAACGTAAAACAGACAAGTTGCCAAGCTCGCTAGTGGAGGTAATTGTCAAAAAACTAGGCGATTGATTTATTAAACAATAACAGCCATTAAGTACTCGCTATGTGTTTATGTATGTGATAGTCTTCTAAATCAATCACCCGTGCGCTAATCAAATGTAACCAATCTGTGCGGGAGGAGATACGCGTCTTTTATATCAGCTCTAGAATATCCTTTCTGTTGAACGCAAAATGTCCTTTGCGATTCTATAAAAAAAGGTGTTCGTTCGCGATACCAAATAAAAAGATCTCTAATCCTCCGTATTTAAAAACCAATTTATTTTAGTTTTGTAATACAAAAAAATGAAATTAGCTATATTTGCTGCAGCCTCTTCTCCCAGAATACTCAGACATTCATTTCAAACTCTTCGTGATATGTTAGGCCACTGCCTTGCAGTTAATGGCGAGTATTTTGAACATTCATTGCGGCGAAAATCATTTTATTGCTAATTATGTCTTATCTTCAAGGTTTAAAAAGAAACGTACACGTTCATTTGTTTTATTTTTATGTAGGATAACTAGATTACCGTTATTAATGTAATTATTTAATAGTGTTTTGAAATTGTTTGAAAATTTTTTATGTATAAGGGTACTAAAATGTTACGTCATCGAAAAAATAAAAAAAAATCTCTATCAAATGAGCCTAATGAAAGGGTACAATACTATTTAAAAAATTTAAGTTGATTTTCGCTACTCATTTGTTTTCAGAAATAAAAACTGAATATTGCCTTATTATGGGAAACAAATATTA